AAGTGCAATAATTGCCTTGAGATACATCATCATCAGCCTATCGCAGTCCATCAATTCACTTTTGTTGCCTTTTTTCTTGAGATACATACATATAATATAATAATTATAATATAATATTTTCGGACATCTAAAACATATCACCGTCTAGTTTCGAACTAAGCAGAGCTTGTACTATGAAAGCTAGATCGACCGATAAAATACATATGTACTTTTTTTTGATAAATATGAGTACATACATATTATAGATAGAAAACACCCAAACTCCAAAACGAGGCCGTGGATTCGATTCCCACAAACGATAATTGTGTGATGAGCACGATCATTTGTTCTGTGTATGGGTGTAATTTATCTAAAATATGTATGTATGTATTAAAAACATATTGAAACATATTGACGACCGGATGGCATAGTGGTTTGTGTAACGGACTGCTATTCCAAAGGTCGCGGGTTCGATTCCCGCTCAAGTCAAACATTTGTGTGCTTCATTAATGTTTGATTGGACTGCACGGATGGCGTAGTGGTTTAAGCGGTCGCCACGCCGCTTCCTACTACGCCGAATGTTGTGGGTTCAAACCCCACATGGGACGACACTTTGTGTGATCCACAAATTGTTGTTCTGAGTCTGGGTGTCCTTTGTGTCCGTTTTATGTATGTTTGTAAAGTCCCCCGCGACACAGGATTTATTCCTAATGCGGGCGTTGTCTTTTAAAAAAAAGAAAAAGAAAAGAAAAGATTTGGTCTGGGTGTTTCTATGTATAATATGTATGTATTTACAAAAAAAAGTATATATGTATTTATATCAGTTGTCTAGTAGCCATAGTACAAGCTCTGCTTAGTTTGGGACTAGATGGCGTTGTGTGAATGTGGTAGAATATTATTATTATTATTATTATATAACTATGTTTATCAGCAGTCTGATTACCATAGTACAGGCTCCACTTATTTGGAACCAGACGGCCGTATGTGAGATGTGAGGTGAGGTATATACTGTTTAAGGATATAATCGTCTTTAAATATCTATTATTCTCTTCGTCTTTTTTTACTTTTACTTTCTGGTTTGTGTCTTTACCAAAAAAAGAAAATGATTGAGAAATTCGACGGGGGTACTTCAGTCTCTTTCATTAATGGTATTTCAGTAAAAACGTCGACATTACATTATTTTTTGCTAAGCGGTTATCTGATTCATTCTTTTATTAACCATAACGTTATTTTATTTTATTTCCAGCCTTAACAAACAAATATATCATTGTTAAAAAAAAAACTGTCAGCACGGCGCAGTACCTACTCGACTTAGAGCTACGAACTTTGGTTCATAACGATGAAGACTTCCAAACGATTTCTTATTCCAAATGTTGCACCTAAAGAACTAGCTTTAATTAGTTCTTCTACCTAAACTCTTGGCACTGTCAGACATATGTAGGTACCTACGTGATGGTTATTTTAACTTCCTACCTTTACTACTGGGGTAAGGGTCTGTACAAACAGATAGATCCTATGAGGCTTTCTTACGTACGTATTACGTACGTACGTACGTTTCTTTCGTAAATATTACTAAAGAAACACATTTTAATTTTATTTTAACCTCTTTTTTTTTAATGGTATAAGGGGCAAACGAGCAGACAGACCACCTGATGGTAAGCAACTACCGCCGCCCATGGACACCTGCAACTCAAAAGTCAAAAGTGCGTTGCTGCCCTTGTAGTCCCTCCCGCTCGAGTCAGCGGGAGGAGGGATTTGGGCTCCGGTAACCGCACTCACTCAGTGAAAGGCAACGAAAGAATTGCTTAACACCGGTTTTCTGTGAGGGCGTGGTATTACTTCGGTCGAGCCGGCCTATTCGTGCCGAAGCATGGCTCTCCCACGGTAAAACTACATGTGTGTGGTTTATTATACTAAACTGTAACCATTTTTAAAGTGTCAAGAGAACTATTAAGATTTTTCTTAATAATATCGGATAAAGTATGAAATTGCCGTAGCATAGTAACATATACTTTGAATTGACATAAAGCCTTTGTGGTGTGAGATTTTCCTGTGAAACTTGTTCCACATGATGCTTTGAGGTTCTTCTTTTAAAATATGTGCGACATTCGATTTTCGACTTTCAATTGTTTTTTTTTTGTTCAGCTTGACAGGAAAATGCATACTTCGAAAATCCGAGTCATTTTTGAATACGAGTTCCGACGCGAAACTAACTACTCGCGAGGAGAGGCGTTTTTTGTTTTTTGTTTAAACGCTCATCCGTGTTGAAACTTGTGTTGCCTTGTTAAATCGGTACAGACATGAAGGAATATCGGTTTGAATTGTGATATGTGACGACAAGTGGATTGTTTGTAACCGTAAGCGAAAAATGCAAGGGCTGACCCCAGGTCAAACGCCGCAACAGTGACCTAAAGCAAAGCTTACCAATAAAAAGGTAATGGTAACTGTTTGGTGGTCTCTTAATGGTGTTATTGACTATAGCTTTTTCAGGTCTGATCAGGCAATAACAGCAGATATTTGCTGTGCCGAACTTCGAACAATGATGGCAAAACTGGCAGTGAAACAGCTCCGACTCGTGACTTGATCTTCACCATTATTGCTCCATGATAACGCAAGACCTTACACTGCACGAAAAACCGATGTAACTCTACTGGAGCTGCAGTTAGAAACCATACGTCATCTTCCGTACTCGCCAGACCTTGCTCCAACGGGCTACCATTTTTTTCGTGATTTGGACAATTTTCTACGTGATAAAAAAAAATCTTCCCAGGAGGCAGTAAAAAATGTTTCCACCTAGTTTGTCGAATTTAGATCCCAGAGTTCTATTATAAAGGCATAAATGAACTTCCGTTTAGAGGGCAGCAATATATAGATAATGAGTGAATGAATGAATATTTAAAAAACGAGTTGCAATTTTTTAGTAGGAATCGGCAATTTATACTTTAACCCCTAATAAAATCTTAAGAAATATTCGCCGGCGTAGGATCTACTATAGATGAATTAAGATTTATAAGTCTACTGTCCACGCACACAAATCTTCAGATCAGCAGCAGAGAATGTGCCGGGTACATTCCCTTTCTCGCCAGTAGATGCTGACTACTATTAACTACAAAAGTTCCGATACGTATATAATCTTCTATTCCCGAAATCTTCCCATGAGTCGAGCTAGAGGGTCAGGCGGTATTTCTCACTTCTGCTATGGAGTCCTATATTGGGGCCTCAGGTGTAAAATTGGAATGTGAGAAATGAATAATCGCATCCAGTCATTTACATTGTAATTAGACACCAGAGGTTGATTCACCTTTCTTATAGTAGAGAGAGATGCCAAATGTGGATTTACTCGAGCGTCATGGGGACCTATTGCATTTGAAAGATTAGGTAATAGTATGATTAAAAGTTTTATAATGTTTCATGTTGTAAAAAGAAATATTCAGGCCCTACAGATATTTTGGGGATATGTTATTTACATGCCAAAAAATGCTCCCAGCATAGTAGCGAATTATCGAAAATTAAAACTGCAAATTTGAAAAAACGTCATTTCGAAATACCCGAGTGTGTTAGAGTTTATACAGACGGTTCAGCTTGATGTTCCTCTCATATTAGCCAAACATGTGACGATAATTTGGCAGGGTATTTTTTATCGGACGGTGAGAAATATTTTTATTTTTTATAAAAGTGACAAATGTAGGCACGAAAAATTTTGTAGACATTTAAAGATATCTTGCATTTTTGCTTCAAAATTATAATTTTTTTATTAAGTACATGTGTTTTTTTTTTTAATTTTGGGACCCTCCAACTGCTATATGTCACACTCAAATCGACTGTTTTTGGCCTAATGTGTATGTAATTGACTCAACTTACCTTAATCTTACACGGTCGAGTATTTCCGGCCATCGTTTTTTTTTAACAAATCTGATGGGCTGCCCTAAACGCTCGGCCCTATATACTCAACTGGGTGCAGGTATTCCTCCTTATGTTAATCTGACACGCTCGAGTAAATCCCGAAATCTCTTCTAGAGCTCCCCTACTATTAGAGCTTATTCATTCATTATTTATAGATGATCGTTAATCTCTGTTAAACTATGCACATTACTCTTAAAACCTGTAATTGAAGATACCTATTGTGTAATATTTGGAATCTCCAGCTAAAATAAGCATTTTTCTATCTAATTAGAAGTCTCAAATCTTTTATTTTATCTCTCAAAGATACTTACGTGTACAATGATTGAAGATAACACCAGACTAAACTTTTAATAGTTTATTATAAAATTATTGACGGCCTTTGTATTTCTTGTCATTATAAACGTACTTAATATATAATAATAAATTTAGAAAACACGTACAACGTGTGTTTACAGTATATTTAATTTAATCTTACTTTAGTATGTACAGTCATTGGTAGAAAGATGTACAAAATGGTGTGCATTTGATGTTATATTCGTATAAAAAGTGATAGTCCGTATCTAAGATGGCGCATACGGGGTGTCGATGTAGTCAAGGGTGAGCGTGGGGGCACGCGGCGAGCAGCGCAACGCAGCCTGCGAAATGCGGCGCGCGCCGCGCATCTCCGGCGCAGCGTCAGGCACTTAGTCCTCCGCAGGTGCCTCTGCCGCTTGTTCCGCTGGTTTAGCCTTAGGCTTAGGCCCCTGCCACCCGTCGCACATTTTTCGGAGGAACGCTGAAAATTGCCCATACAAAAATTTCAATTAATGAACCAAAAAATGTGCAATTAATTATTAGTCCTTCAGCCAATGAACTTATATGATGTTAATGTTTAGAATAGTGAATGACGTAACATTTTTATGATATGTGTTAACGTTTGTGAGAATAGTAGTAATATATTAAGCAGTAAACTGAAATTAAAAGACGTACAAAGTCAACAGACATACGGAAAAAATAATCAGTAATATTATAAAGCTGAAAGTGATAGATAGTAAAAACGAAGAAAAAATATTATTTTCTCTTAAGCGTTGGAGCACTTACGATCTTATAACTAAAGATATGACGAGATGAGAAGCCCTTTACGCCATCACCTTCTTCAGGAATGCTGTAAATGGAAAAAAGGTAAAACAAGGGGGCACATGCAAATCATATCATTATTACCCTCATGCTTACCTACACAGTCAGGAAAAAATACGAATAGTTCTACAGTTTACTTTTATAAGTTATCATTTACGAGGTAGGTAACGCACTTTTAGACAAAGTTAGCAATAGTCACTATTACGAAAAGGGAATAAACGGGCGTGCAAACTACTGCAATCACTTCATAAATCAGTATGATAACTGCAATAAAATCGTGACATAATCAATGCTTTGGTGGAACTACTGGAGACAACTATTTACATATAAGAGGTTTTACAACGTTTCACTCAGATGAAAAACAAATATGATTTTTATAATAATATAACGGGGCATTCTTCTACAGTTGCATATTTTTACGAATCAAATAATAATACACAAAATCTTAACACAAACGTTACAGTTATACTTACGTGCGTAGGGGATCATGCCATCATCATCTTCGGGATCCATACAATCCTTTACGACTTCATTGACCTCTTTGTCTTCTAGCTTCTCACCTGCGCATTTCAAATGTATTGTCAATCATTACTACAAATTATTTTTACTACAAAGCGTTAACAAAAAATAGGCCCAAAATACTCGAAGCTTTGAAAAATAACGAGTCACGCATTGTGAGGCTAATATTGAGCACCATGGCTTACAGCCAAATGATTTCAGTTCATGTCCAACTGGAAAATTAGTCGGTGCCAATTTGTCTTATTGACATGTTAAAGCTTCTAAATATAAAAATAGTTATCCGTCCCGAATAAACAACATTACTGGTAAATACTAGAACTCTATTAAAACTTATTGCACAGAAAGAGAATAACCTAACGAAAGGTACGTTTGTACACAGGCTTAGTTTACAGGCAGCTGTTAAATACAACTAGAAATACGAATGTTTAATGAAGACACGTGTTGTCCATGTATACCTTCGTAAAGAGTAAAATGAAACATAATTACCTAACGCAAGAAGAGTGTGTGTGAGCTCAGCGCCAAGCATGAGACCGTTCTCAGCTTTGTCGTACAGCTTCAGACATTCCAGGAAGTCTTCATAACATCCCTGGTCTTTGTCTTTCTTTGCTTGGGCGTAGATGGGAAGGAACTCTTCCAACTGGAAGAAAAGAATATTTTGATAAGACTACGAGTAAATAAATCAACATACCTTACGACACTTACAAGCAAAAGCACTAGTTGCTAAATAATTAAGTAAGCACGTGAAAAAAAGGACACAATTTAGGAATTCATAAGAACAAATGTTCTTAACTTTAGCGACTTAACTTTAAGCCTTAGTAATACAAGTATTGTAAATATGTAAGTATTTATTTTTATTTGTTACGCCTTAGGCGCCTTATACCTTAGGCGATCATCATGGAAATACTAAACTAAACTACTTTCGTAAAATTATCTGAATAAAAAATATTTACTTTTTTATTTATAAGTAATTATATTTATTTTATATTTGACACATACTTGAATTAATAACAATGTGGTTTAAAACCATTCTGCCTACTACACAGCAATTCTACTAAATAATTTTTACATGGGCTACCTACGGACCTGTATAATAAAATTATCTATTATATTTTGCTACTGAGTCTTTTTCTACTTGGTCATAGTGGGACCTAAACTTTCTGCAAGCCATACTCTCTATAACCTAGCCCTGCTAGCTTACACATTTTTCTACGTTCTCACTTAGGTAGATTTTTTAACCTTTTAAACTTCACTTTTTTGCCAACCACTACTGCGTAAAACAAATTAATTTGACTTACGGTGAGTTGTTTCTCGCCCTTCTTCTTGGTACCACCGAGCTTCTCGATCGTGGCCATTGTGGGGTTAGAGTTGAGCGCCCTGAGGATGTCTCCGAGGTTGAAGGCATCTACCTTACCATTACCCTCGAAGTCGTAGATGGAGAAGGCGAAGGAAGCCTCTGTACAACAAAACTTTTCATGCTAAATTCTAATCGTATGATTGCAATAGGAAGTTTATTACTCGTAACAGTTTGTTAGTATTACAGAAACTTATTCCAGCATGTAAATATCTCCGATTTCATATTCGTTTTTTTTTGGAATACCTTCATACTTTTTTTTCATACTTTATCAAGCAATCTTTATCCAATCTAATCTCATAAAACAGATTCAAATATTCATAACCGATGCGATTTACAAGGCCTTCTATAAGGTACCCCATAATGTGAACATAATTTAGAGAATATGTGTTTATGAGATCCCATTGTGATAGAGCACCAAAACAACTACAGCATGGTTTTTAGGTATACAGCTTTCTTCTTTTGTATTGAATAATAACGGCTGCTTCAACAGTATGATTATCAAAAATAATTCAGGTAGATTCCTTCAATAAATAATTGAAATGTAAATGCATTGCACAAGTACATTGATCTAAAACTGCAATGTTCTAATAAATTATAGGTAAAGCGCAGATATAAAGCGGGCGCGTAGGCGGATGATCCTCGCTCAGAATAGTACTTTTTCACGATACGTTTTAATAATATAATTATGTATATATATTCAGTGAGATCGCATGAATCACACTCTAATTATAGTTCAACTGTGCTTTATATTCAATGTTGCTTTTCCTTACGGTTCTGAAAGATTTTTCTTTATCATTAAAAACTATAAAAGTGTAGACGTCAGTTGCATTTAGATTAATAAAGACGGTTTAAAAGGTTTATCTTTGAATTTACGATTCTATACCGGCATTATTGAACAAATATCTATTATCTATCTACATAAAATGCATAACCATCAGCTGACTCAAGATCATTTACCGACCTTGGTAATGACAGCTGGTTTAAATTGCATAATATAACTGAAGTAACATTTCCGAAGAATGTAATATGCAGCATCTATTTAGGTAAACTACAATCCTACGCTAAACCATAAGCAGCATGTTGAAGTGAAATCTGAGTTGAGTTTCTCTGTTTGGGCGGGCGGCGATTCGAGATCCCGTGACGCACGAGTTTAAATTTAGAACGCAGCGCGCGCAGCGTGGCCATGCCACTGGTGCTTCTAACCGGCATCTCTTAGTACCTCGAACCTTTTATAAGAAACGATGCTAAACATAGATGTTATGATACTGTTATTTTATTTATGCAATATTACTATGTTTTGCATATCCGCCAGTTAATTAAGTAGACCATCAAAAACTTGTAACAGTTTTGTTAAAAAGAAACACGTGCAAGCAAGGAAATGCAGAGGCATTAAAATAGGGAATCGTTAACATATTAATATACATAGATAATTAGAAAAACTTCCTTATGTTTATTTTATGTTATTAATATTTAAGAAATCAGTATTAAATTATACTTACTTTCCACGTCGTTCTTGCTGAGGTCGCTCTGAAAATTACCAAAAACATTGAGTTATTTCCTTGTACAAAACTGATTCCATACAGTGTGTGAGTATTAGTTGGTGTGTAATCATAGCTTCGCTGTTCTTTTTGTGTATTAGCATTCAGGTTATACGATACCATCTTCATTCACTGAGTTTTAATCACAACACTGATTATATATTTCAGATAAGTAGTTTACGCGCTCGCGAGTATCCGGTCAGCGGAACAAGTTTCTCGAGAAATTAATCGCGCATCTGATTTTATTCATCACTTGTGAAGCTAACAGTCCATTTATCTCACTATACACCTTTCCATATTTTCACTGCCGTCAGTGACTCACCATTTTGTGTGGTGTTAGATGGTTCCCTCCCGGTCTTCACTGGCAGACGTTCAGACAAGAAGTGGGGCTCGGTAACTTTTCGCGGGACTGTTTTAACTGGCTCAGATGGCGCACACGTCTGGATATTTGAGATTTAGCCCAGGAATCCACGACCGTTCTATTTTCGGCGAAGTCGTTCCGTTTCCATGGCGTCTTCAAACGCATACCGTTGCCGCTAGTGAAAAAGAGACAGTATGATTTACCTCCTGCCCCTTATGTAAATATAGTGCAAACGCCAATTGTAATAGTAAATCTACATTTATGCTAAACTATTTCGATTGGATATCTGCGGTAGTATATACTGTCCGGAACTGAGGTGCTGAAATATTTTCGAAATTTATAGATTTCGAATTACTATCTTGAAGAAAAAGATCGTCATTATTAATTGCATTATTAATCGTCATTATTTAGCACATTTTCAATAAAACCAATGTTTATTATAGTTACCTAAAACTTTATTATCAGAAACCAAATAACATTATACGAAAAAGGTTAATGTAGATGGATGATTAATATTCTCCACATTGGTCGGAATTTAATTCAAACGTATAATCCTTCCAGCGCGAGGAATTGACTAAGGCTTCATTAACAGTGTTGAACTTCCAGACCCCGCCTCCTGAAGGTGACTGCGGTCGAAGAAGACGTTGATCCAAGAGACTGGCTGCACGACGTCTTGCATCTGGTGACAAGGGGCATAGGCCACGAACAGTACCCGAAACTCGATGCTGATGTTCCTATCCCAATAAAAATATTAGATTAGATTCATTCAGTAGAGTTATATAATTATAGAAGTGAAAAGAAGTAGTAAAAACAATCATGGTTTACGTAGATATTGGAGAATTGGAGAATATAAAAATGTATACCTAATGATTAACTATTATTATGCTCTTCAATCATGATCTCTATACATTCTTATATATAGGTCTGAAGAATTTATTAGTTATGGTATTTATATAGTAGTTATGGTATGTAATAGTATTATCAATTAATAATGTTACCAAAACATCGATAATTAAATAGTATTAATTGACTTTTAGCGGTACACTATCAGTAACCGTGGGAGAACCATGGCTCGGCACTTATGGGCTTTTCACCGGCTGAATGAGGTTAACGGTGTTCCAACCCCCGTGATTCTGTCTCTTGAGTTGCAGGCGCCCATGGATAGCGGTAGTCACTTACCAGCGGATGGCTCATCTGCTCGTTGGCCTACTATGCTATAAAAGAAGTTTAAAACAGAAATTCAGACAACCTTTAAAGACACATTAAAGACAATAGAATTCTGTCGCAGATCAAAGCAAATGCTGACCGTCATGCTAACTTGCGTGCTTTTTAAATCCAGTTTTAGAGACCACGCTAGTTATTATATTTCGCTTTTATAAACTTTAAACTATACTTTGACTATAATTTCTTCAAAAGTTTGAACAGCAAAATCAGTATGACAATATTTTTCTATTCAGGTGGAAAAAGTGAAAATTAAGAAAATTAATAATTAAAAACAGGACAACAGCACTGCATAGAGAAGGATTACTTAAAACAAACCCAATGTCCACCAGGACTACTAAAGGGTTGTTGATGATGATGATGAAAAACAGGTTTAAGGTTTTAGAATTTTAATAAACTGCAAAGTTTTTGAAGTAGTTAATTTAATACCTTGCGATTTCCAGGTGTCCTCCGACGCCACCACCCTCGAAGACAAGCCAGGAGCCTAGCACCCTGAGAGCGGCACTTACTCACTAAACTCTTCTTTGACACTGCTGATACGGCTGAAGTTGCCGTTAACTCCTTTGATTTTTCCTTATAATGAGTATTATTTAAAATTAATTAAATTGGAAATCTAACACAATAAGCAAAAGTCTTTGTGAGTCGGTGAACCTACCTTGGCACCTACAAAGTAACTTAAAGATATTAGAAATTGTTACTTTTGCTTTACGCTTTTGTCTTCTTACCAAATTGTATTTAAGCGGGGAAATAAACTCCGCTACGGCTTGCGATGGCCATCAGCAAGGTAAGAATGTCACTAGAGACTATTTTAATAGTCAGGGCTATCGCCTTGGTTTGTGAGGAAGTCATGGTGCACTGATAAGAAGACAAAATCGAACTAGAGCACTACCGTGCTTCTTAAAAATGCATGTAATCTCCGTAAACTCCTCCACTGGTCTTAAAACCACAAATAGGATTAGGCAGATTGATTACTGGCAAAGTTATTTCCTCAAACTTAAGGCTGTTATTGATTTGCTTGTATTCTGTTCTGTGGAAGTCACTGCTAATGGATATGATTAAGTGACTGCTTAAGTGTCTGTCGGGCAAGTCTGTCTAAATCCTCAGTTGTGCACTCCAGTAAAGCCTAAATAACTTGTTGAAAGCCTTAAGCTCCTAGAGCAGGCTTTGGTAAATTCAAAGAAGCTCGCGAGTTTATTGTGCCTTTTTAGAAATATATGTTAGTAGATAAGATACTAGTAACACTGCTGCGTTAACACATTATACTATATTCCTTCAGGCTAATACTATCTTTTTATGTATACATAAAACTGTCTTACACATTTAGCGTCTGAAGTCAGTTCACCGTGAGTAGATAAATCCTCGTTAGAGGTATTCGCTGTCATCAATTCTACTTCCTGGAGAGTCATACCTTTTGGATCTTCTAATATTACGTTACCATCATCTTCAGAACCCTGTTCATCGTCCCCTGTACACATGTATAATCACTTGAATCTCCTAGCTTGCTACTTCTTAATTAAAAAATAATTTTAATAGTGTCATTAATAATTTGAATAACGACACTTTATCAATTACCAATTTATCAGTTAAACTACTTCAAATATTTTAGTGTAATGACCATATTGACGAATGTTATCATACCTTTCAACATTTTTGATAGTAGCTACTTATTTACATGTGAATGATGAAATGGTGTAATTATGAATTTTTGTATTTAAATTCCCAACTAGCGGTACCCTGCCATGCTTTGCTGATGCACATTGTGGATTGATAAGAAATGAGGAACAAAGGTGAAATTGGGAAATAGATAAAAAATATCTGCGGGTGTATAGTGTCAAAATTATCTCTTGAGCTCAATCGGTGCAGAAATTTCTGAATCTTTGAAGCGCACACCACAGAGTATATTGAATATTGCAAAACAAACAAACTTCTTGACATTTTATAAAAATATAAGATTATCTATTTATCAACATATTTTAAAGTGATCTCACTTATCAACATTAGCAAAATCATACACCTTTCGGATTACTTATTTTCCGTAGAGGTCTACGCACAATAGTTTAACTCACTCCCTCCTATGCAGAAAAGGTTGCTAGTAGGTACATTTCATTTAATACAATCTACAATTATGCCGTAACATCCTTGCCAGATCCCTTATTTAAGAGGTTGCTTCTGAATACAATAATTACCAATCATTTGAACATTGATTGTGATTAGGATTTTGGGGAAATCCATAAAATCCAGTTTGATCTTAAAAGCAATGCAAAAAAAACTCTAACTTAAAAAGTTACTCACGGTTTAGAGAGAGATAAGCTTTTTCAAATTGAGCAGCTTCGATCATGGCTTTGCATTCTTCAGGGTTTTCATTATTTATCTAATGATCATAATAAATACAAATAACTTAAATAACTGTATAACAACCCTATGTCACAAATTGTGTACGGGCAGCTTTTAGTCTTCAGAACTTATTTTGTGTCTAGGTTAAAAATAGACGCTCTTTGGGTTTAAATTGATAAACATTTATTTTTATAATATTCCTACTTACCTCTTTTATTTTTACTTCAGGAACAACATGTGATACCTCGCATTCAATTGGATCTCCGGCATCAGGTATATAGAATGCAATATCTTTATCAATGTCTGCAGCAAATGCATCACTTAAAAATGAATATTCTGAATGTGCTGCGCTCGATGTCTTTTCGATAGGAACTTCACTATCAAGTGATTCAGTTGGTTGTTCTGATGCTAAACCTACTGCTGTATTTACGTACGAATCCATTATCTTGCCCATGGCTTTCTTGAGCAGCTCATTAGGTTGTGAATTACTATTTACGTTACAATTGTCATCTGAATCAATAATTTTCTCAACGTCACTCATATCGAAAAGATAGTTAATAAACATTGAAGTTGATTGGGTTAACTCATTTTGATGCTAAAAAGTTTTAGGCCATGATAAATATTAAGTAACAATAACAAATAAAAAACAGTTTATCTATAAATCTTACTAATTCTGGATCTTCATCTCCTTGTCCAATAAAACTGCCTTCTACTTTTAGTTGATCACCTGAAATATATATTAAAATAAACAATATATTTGGGTTTATTAATATATTTGACTGCCTCGGTGGTGCAGTGACAGCGTATGCGACTGCTGTTCTGAGTTCTTCTGTTCTGAGAGTTCAAATGTTTGTATGATCTGCGTGTGTATGTATTTACAATAAAAAGTATATAATAATAAGTATTCTATCCGTCAATCTAGCTTCCATAGTACAAGCTTTGGTTAGTTTGAAACTAGATGGCGTTGTGTGTCAGATGTCCAAAAATATATAATAGCTGGATAACGTTACAAAGAAACGTCTATTTTGTCCTGTTTCCGTAATCATAATATGTAGATTCTTATATTGCTAAACATGACAAATATTTCTCAATTCTTTAAACTAGACCTTAAAGATTTGGAAAAGTTATGTGCGTTGTAAATCAGCCAAGCACAGTTGACATATTCATGTCCTACCACCGAAATATAGTCCAGTATAGGACCAATCCTGAATAAGTATTTGACATTCGTGTTTAGGAATGAAATATCTATGACCTCTGGATGGAGCAGAGGACGTTCACAGTAAATCTTCATCTTGATCGGTCTTGAGCTTTGCCCCTAATTTCGCTCCACGTCCTGCCGATATTCATTTGCCACTACCAGTGTAGCCAATTCAGCTCCATTTGCGGCGTTTGATCAGCAGATCGATTGCAGTTTCGGTTACAATGGCCTGGAGTCGCAGCGAGAGATTATAGTGACCTTCCACGTTTTGCACCCATACTTCAGTACGAATTTGACCCGACTATTTTTAATTTAACCCTTGGAGTCTATTCCCGTAACTGCCATACAGGTCAAAGTTGTGAAAAGGCAGCTCGAGTTTTTTTAATGCGCGAATTTATTTCTTCTTCGGAACCTTGACTTTTTGACACGACGCTCCCGAGTCAAATAAATAAATTTGTTTCATAACCTCTGCACAAATCAATAAAGGTGAGCGATTTCGACCGCTGATCGCATATTTTGGGTTGGGTTGTGTTGATTTTTAGCAATACAGGGCTCTTATAACTCAGATATCTAGCTCATATCTGCCTACTTTGATTGTATGTCGCGGTGTGTCTGACTCAGGAAATCATATATCGGCACACTCTGTCTTCTAAGAAATCGGTGATGCCTATTTTATCCACTTCCATGTCGTTTGCGGTGACATGCACAATGCATAATTCCGTCCAGGACACTAGGAAGAGGAGAAGTGAGAAGAAGCAGCCCTGACATACGCCTGCACGTACCTCAATCTTCGGAACTGAGACTGTTGTGATAAACTCTACAGAAATATATCCTGAACTGGCTGATAACTTTTGGTGGGACTCCAATCCAAAACTAGACCTTAAAGACTTAGACTAGAGAGACTTAGATCGTAATTTATTGTTAAAATGTACAGGAGTACATTGCAAATAAGGCATGTATGGTTGAAATATTCAAATCCTACATCGAAATATAGGCTTAGTACCAGCCCTAAACATGTAACTCGGCGGAAATAGTTAAAGTAAACTACAAACTCGTATCCTAATCTTGCCCTACGGCAGCAGTTTCTTTAAATAAAAACGTACCTGTAACTTTTTGTGGTGTTGATGTGACAACTTCATTGGCAACTAGCTCCATCTTATTTTCATTTATAACATCGTGTTCGACTTTAGACGATACATTTTCACCGTCAGTTTCAGATTGCCTAACAGTTTTCTCTGTAGACAAATAGCGCCATGGTTGACCTGAGATAAATGTCATATCTAAAAAAATTAAAATAAATACACGCAACTGACAAAGAAGCGAGAGACATCAATCGCCTTCTTCTCTGCACTATGTCTGATGATGATGATGACCGTTAGATCACAATGATGATAAACAGCATAAGAGCATAACAACAGATTTACCTGACTCTATAGCAGAGTTTGCAATAACATATGCATCGTCCAAAATTTGCTTGACCATATGAACGGCCATAAAAGCAGCAAGTCGTGAATCGCATGCTTGGTCTCCATCTGCATCTATATACAAATCACATTAATAGTTACAATACAGGCGACAATTCGTACATAAATAAAAATATATCTATATATAAGTAATACCTTTCTTGTTTGTCATTTTAATGATGTCTTTATTGACATTCGATTTTTTTCTATATAATGGCTTTTCTAATTAGATATTTTAACTTTTTACAATAATTTCCAATGACAAATTGAAAAATGTATCAATAAAATTACAGACTCACCTTATTACTTTAAAAAAGAGATTTGGATATTTTGTTTGTTTTTATTTACTGTTAATATTGTAAATCTTTATTTTATTACATTACTTTTCTAATTAATTTATAAAAGCCTGTTAACAGTAATTAATACTTATTTGAATAAAAAATAACTTATTTATTATCAATTTATTAGTTCTATCTTACATCCAACTATACCTCTGTTCTGTGATCTATACTATCAGTAACGCATTCATTCAATTTACGAATTTTCTAAAAATTACTTGGATTTGTTTGGTTATGCTATAAAATGTCTACAGAATGATTTGATAAAAAGCAATTCCTTCGAATTTGAAAAATATGAATAAAAAGTTATAAAATTACTCAAATAACCAAAAAACATTTTTATTCAAAATACACCGTCGCTATTTCGGTAACGCCCAGCCAATAGCTATAATGTGTTACACATATTCTGAAACTTCGACCTCATTCTATTTTTGTAGATGTTTCGTGATTGTACCGTAGAACAATCTGTTCTGGGCTAAGAAAACGGCGTAAATCTTAAATGTTTCAATGGAACACTCACGAGCACTGCACTAAAAATATACAAGGAAGAGAGGTGTGTCATAACTTTCAAAGTTAACTTAAATTTAATGAGTCATTTATTTAATTTTAGGACATTTTATTTTAAGATTTGATGTACCTAACACTTCAATTTTGGTTCAATTTTAAATAAAACATGTATTATAACTAACTTCAGCTATATAACTATAGTTTTATTTCTATTAGAATTAAAGACTCGAGAAATATCAATAAGATAACTTAGTATTAAGCCATTCAACTTCCATAGCGAGGAGGCATTGCGTCTTCTGTGTAATGCCAAGACGAAGTTTGATTAGCATATTGACTTGATTATAGATTATTAAATACAAATAAGGTAAACACATTAACGGCATTTTCCATAGGATACTTTCGATATTTTAAACCATAAGTCATACAAAATCAATGTCACTTCTTTATCTCCGGCATTCTATATCTTTATATACATCAATTACTGAGCTCTCTTCGTAGGTGCATCTGCAGCCGTTGCTGCTGGTTTACAATAGTTAGGGTTTGAACCCTGCTGTCATTCGCAAATATTTCTTAGAAAAGCCTAAAGTTTACTTTTAAGAACAAAATTTAAATATATTGAAAAACATGATTGATTTATACGGTATGACGTAAAATCTTGACAGCACTGTTTAGGAATTACGCAATTTGTATTTATACTTCGAGCAGGTAAACGAGTGTGGGTGGGTATCAACAAAAGCGTATATATGAGAATCTGATATTCAGTCTTTTATTAACATATTTTATGAATTTTTATCTACTATGAGCGAGCAACAATATTTTTCACCTTCCTCGCTGGTGAGCAGTTACGTGTGTCTATAATTCCTCAAAAATGTAGGTAATTTACCTTCAAAATTACCTACTTCAATGCGCCTTCATCATAACGAATTGTAATAAAGTGTATTCTTCATCTTTTAATTGTCCAACCTTAGGGATGGTTTTGAACTTGAATCAAAAGAAAAAAAAAATTCTAAATTAAATAAATTATTTTTTAAGGTTACAAACAAAAAAAAACCGGAGAATACATATTATAAATAGTTCAGGAATCGAGTCTCGCAGTTTTTGCCCAGCTTTTCCCGAAATGCAGTTTCCAAAAACTATACCTAATTACTTATATTGTTGTGCTTTATAAAAGCAATTGTACCTCGATGATTGATTACGTACTTTAAATAAAGACTATATTTTATGTTTTAATTACAAATGTATAATAGTTTTCAGAGTTCTAGCTTAACGGGAAGTACTCCATGGCCTACCACCCCCAGGCCTGCGCTTATGGAGGACGGAGGTCATTCTGCGACCTCCGGCGCCTGAGTCGTCTGCGGTACCTGGCCCGTTGCCGGGCCATATATTTAATTCAGTTTAGCGTGTCCAAATATGCGTTTTTTGTGGCATCAACGTCTCTTTTTTATGTTTGCTTAGAAGTTTGATTTTTTTACAGCTTCTAGGGACTGTCGTTAATGACACTTCGATATCTCCACGCATTTTCAAAATAAAGGGTCGTAACAGACAGACAGGCAGACCTATCCTACCTACCAGATCCTATAAGGGTTCTGGTTTTTTCGCTTGAGGTACGGCACCCCAAAAATACAAACGAATTCTTTCGAACTGTTTCCCTTTTGAAGTCGTATAAAGAAGTAAGACAGCACTAGGCCCATAATAAATAACTGTTAACTAGAGGTACCCCTTCTGGCATTTCAATCAAGATGAGAAATGTCTCTTTTGTTGTTGATACGCTTAACAACAAAAAAGACATATATAAACAAATATCATAAAGAAATATCTATCAAAATCATAAGGCTCCAAGTTGTCTTATTTTAAAATTCAGACAAAACACAACAGGAACACAAAGAATTACACAGACAGTAGGAAGCCAGTCTCTGAAGTAACCTAACATATTAATTTCGCTTATAAAAGAGATTGAATAATGTAATTGAGGACGTGTCCACTAGATAAAGAGCCTTAAAAACTTATACATTATGACTGAAACATAAAACAACAATGTAGATGAACATAAGTAATGGAAACAATCTATAAAATGGATACTGTTTAGTGCCGCCGCTCCCCGACTATCTCTATGTATAAAGCAAATTGCCTGCCACGAGGTGGACATTGATATCTATACCAATCTTGCTAATTCAATGTCTTTATGTTTACCATTTACTTAGTAATGTATCTAGTAAAGTACAGAGACAAGGGTTGATAGCACAGTTTTAAAGGATTTTAAGGAGACATCTAGGTTATTGTATTCTTTATGAAATATAGCTGAGTATTGACAAGAGAAAGAGTTAAACAATCACGATATCGCAATGCTGATGAAATTCCCTTTCTGCTTTAAATCTGTCTCCATAACACCTAGTACCCTCCACTGCCTATCGCATCCAATTCACACACAATACACATAACAAATGTTAAATTGCTTATCGCTTAAATACAATAAATAATCTGTATAAATAAATAAAAAATGTTGGATTGTGTACGCTAACTCAAAAAGTTCTGCACCGATTAAACTCAAATTTTAACACGAAATGCAACCCGATTCGAGGATTGTTTTATTAATTTTTTGCGTCAGTTTTGATCTTCATTTCTCAGCAATGCAACCACAATGTGTCACAGCGAAGCTTGGTGGGTTCAGCTGGTATAATATGCGTTTATTGTAATGTGCACCACAAACTACAAATTGCCATACAGCATAGTCCATCTTAAGGTTGCTTATAAGAGATTACAGACTGCGATAAAACTGCCACTTTATAATACTGTTTTTTTGTTTTCTATTGGTACTGTATGATTTATATTCATGATGTGTAATAACGAGTCCGACCCAATAAAAAGTTTCAAATTGAAGTTTAAAGTTTAACCGTAGCCCAAGGTGGAACTACAGTGCACCGAATGAATAATAACATGAATTTGTGATTTAATAATTGACACAACGTACCACCAGTACCTAACAAAATACTACGTTATTGTAGATAGTAATAATACATTGATAAAAAAAGTGTAAGTAAATGGACCAATATTCGTCAACTTAGTCGTTAAAAATCGTTATTTTGAAAGTTAGTTTAAATGACACCAAACACCATATGACTTGTTCCTCGTAAAATATTAGTCTATTTCTAAAAATGACTGTTAGATATCTTGTTAGTATATCGCAAGTTTTAACTATAAAACAATTTCAAACAATTAAGCTTTAAAAAAAGGCTCCTTGTGGCAACATGGCGTTCATCTATGTTCAATAAATATGGTTATTGTCTTAAGTACATAATATATGAACATATTTGCCGTTTAGCTAATTAATGAAAATTAATATCTTTATGGCAAAATTACTATCGTGCAACAAAATACCTTTAAATAATAATTATTGTTAACCCACAGCGAAAACAGGGTGGACCATTTTCAGTTTCTAAAACATTCAATTAGGTGTAAGTTTATAAAATAAATGAACCAATGTTTGGCCCATATTTTAAGATATGAAGATAGACTGAAAGAGAAGCCCTGTTACCGTTGGCATGACAACCGGAGGCTGCCTCTCCGCCACTCGGTCCGCGCACACAGATCGATGCTGAAAATCTTATAGGGTTGCTACTATTTCTATTACTTGATATTTTAGCATAAACAAGTGTATTATGTAATAATCATAGTGTTTTTGTTTAATAGGTAACACTGTTCACATTTTTAATAGGTAATACTGTTCATATTTAAAGAGTAGATCCTCATTAGTGAGTTAAAGATTATTAGCATAACTACGAAGAATTACTAATCTAGCATCGAGCTTAGACGTTATATCTTTAAAATCATTCAAAGTTTAATTGAAACCTGTAGATAGACAATGGTACCGTAACCGTGACATGAGGCTCAGTTATTTGTGAGTTTTAGTGACAAAATATACTTACTTGAATATAAACTTATTTTGGACAACCCTATGTTTCAGTCTCGACACAAATGCGCGGTACCTCATTCCCTGTCTCGCGTCTCTTGGACGAGGTCCTCGCTTGTTTCTGACTTATTCCCGATATTGTGCCACCATCGGAATGTAAACAGCGCTTCTTGCAAAATGAGGATGGGTAGTGTTTATTATCACAAGTGAATCAAAGGTACGTTTGAACAGTTATAAAACTTGATATTATTATATTAGGTAACAGCTTCATACGTATATCCATGTACTTACTGGCTACAAATATGGCGATACAGTGTACATGTGCTTGTTTTCATTCCTTTCTGTGAATACATCGTTAATACCGTGGCGAATTAAATACTTAAAACGAATTCATAGCAGTTTCGATCTACAGCTTGCCCGAGTGGTGTCAACAATTATATGTTCTTAGTTATAATGATTACTAATATTAACTATGACTTGGAAGTCTACTGTAAAGGCTTCTTAATTAATTAAACCTAGTCGGCATGGTGAACTATGAATTCCTTTGAAATATTATAAAAAGGACACTTAATGAGCGAATCTATATGTTTGTTACACCTTGACACTTAAACAGCTGATTTGCTTCGTCTGAAATTTTAATTGAACATAATGTAATACATAATTTAATATTTATAGATCAATAAAAATATTCAATTTCAATGTATTAAATAGTATAGAATATGACTAAGATCAATCCGTTTACAACCTATGCAAAAGATATTTTTTAAATGACTACTTAGTTAGTGGGAATTTATCTACTATTGATGTAGCCCAGTTGTAAAATCCATGGTAACATTTTTTCAGAAACTTATTTCATGATGTTGAAAGTAAAAGAAATAACAGAAGAAGACCCCAACGCCGAGGAGGTGATACCAATACCAGTCCAGATATTTCTATGGAGGCAGACATCACCGTTTGTGAGACCGCGCCTCGGCAAAGTTCACGATGCTGCTTGTCAGGTATGCATAACTTAATAAATATGTATAAACCAAGGTGTCTATATGTGTGCAAATGTATATAGCTATATTTATCTTTCTATGTATTGTTATTTCCATGTATTTACCCTCTCTTCCGATAATGGTCTCATCTCCCAGTATCTAGCGACTCTAACATTCGAACACTACATAAAATATTGTCGTCGCGTCATGCCTACTAAAAGGTTTTTATAATATTTTGTCGCTAACATTTGTATTTTAATACTAGTTAGAGTTCATAGTAGGTGGTTTAATTGATGGCTACAAAGGAAGGAACTAATCGGCCAAAACTTTTTATGTATATCTTGTGCTTGTAGTCTACGAGACAAAGAAAGTTGAGGACAGCGGTCCCCTAACCTCTTTTTTTTCAGATTTGGGTAGAATCTCCATTTAGCTAATATTTAAAAAGTCATCAACTTTAAATATATGTTCGACCTATTAGTCCGGTCAATTTGGACATGCAAGGGTACAAAATCGCATAGGGCTAAATGCCAATTTTTTTAGTTTTACCATTTTTAGAGCCAATTTGACTGAACCCTATCTCCAATATTGTGCTAGATATATACAACGAAGTAACAGTAAAAATGACACATATATTTTAAAGAAACTAAAATCAAAACCAGCCAAAGTACATTATTGTATGTATTGTACAAAATCACTAAACAAAAAATTAATGGCCGTTTTACGGTGGGTGGGTGGATGAACGTCAAACTTTGATAAAAAAAAATCATAAGATTTTGCTGACAATTGAACTTCAAGTTTTATTTTAAATGTTTTCAATTGATGATGGCTAATTTTTTTGTAAACCTCTGAAACCTCTTCTCACTAGGCATGACGACGTTTAACAACTAAAAACCTTCGCACAATATGCCATATTAAGGGAGAAGTAACGTGTACATTTATCTTACACACATACACCTACCTATACGTACCTACACATAGTATTGTCATCGTCGCTCTGTTTGTTACGTTTCTGGTAAAAAATAAGTAAAAAAATCCTTAGAACAGATCTCTTCATACCTCTATTTATAAATTGCGGACGATTCTTTGTCCGGAGGTCTATATAACCCGTTTCGATATGAGAGGTGAAGCTTACTAATAAATGGAGTAGCTAGGCTGCTAATACCAGGCTTTTAAGAGCGTCGGGTTCGAGTCCCGGTAGGAAAATACATTTTTTATAATTATTTTTTACTATTTTAATAATTGTAAGTGTTCGTAGAGACATGTCTGTGGTAATTGTAAAAATCACCCTTATTTGTTAAAAACACGCAGTTCTGTCAACGTGCTCCTGGACACCATGTAAGTATATATGAGTACACTTTGTGCTTTCCATTTGCACAGAAGTTGTATAGATTATTTTACCCAAAGTATTGCATAGTATCAAGGTTAGTACATTTTAAGTTAACATTATTATAGCCATAATTTACATTCAAAATCATACAAGTTATTTGTACTTCTTTATTTTGAAGCAATAGTTGGTAATATTTTAAATAGCAAGGACGTTAGTTCAACTCCATTACTTCATTTTAATTTGACTTTGCATTTATCCACAAGACGCTTTGTCAAACAAAAAAAAGCATTCATGTCATACACAGAGCACGAAACTTCAGAACTCTTGTACTTACTTATCTATCTTTGCACTTGTTCTATGATGGCGATGATATATGTTATATTCCTGAGTCTATAATCTACGTGTCATCATATCATTTAGCTACCTCAATTTGTCAATATTGACACACATTATAATAAAATGCACCTGTATTTAACTTTTTTCATAATTTCATAGGTTCAGTAAGTGATAACAGTTATTCTGAGTCCATACGATATGAAAAATCAAAATATACTTTGATAATCCCGATGTGCCAAACGTACGCCAAGGCAGTGGTCTCGAAGTTTCAAAAGATTCGGGAATAAACCTATTCTATATTAGGAACTGTAACTACAAAACTTTATGTTTATTAATTTATAAAATTCCAAAACACCTTAATAAGTGGTTTAAAGTACATTTTTAGAATGTTTTCTTTTGGTTTTGATTTCGTATGTACATTTTTTCCCAATATCTTTCTTGGAATAAGTAGGTACCTAGAATTTTAATTTCTTTCATATAATTTTATCTAATAGCATAAACATTATCTTAAATAAAAAATAAAATTAATTGCATGTATGCATGTTTTAGCATTGTCGCACATATGCAATGCTAGGCTCATTCCAATAAAATATAATCTGATGTAAGTAAGGAGGTTTACGAACCAGTAGGGGCTAAGGCAGTAACCAACCTAAAATATTGCCCACCAAAGAATTCGTAAAATCATAAAGCAGACAAACACATGGATATGAAAATATTTAGAAGAAAGCAAATATAAAAAGGTTAGATTACCAGAAAGAAAGCTTTGTCAATGTTTATTATATTTTTACTAAAGTTACTTAGTTAAATTATTTTTTTTTAGTGCCCGGCGTGCTAAGTAAGTAAGGAGAAGATGAAAATATGTCGATGTGTATAATAATTTTAAGTTTCGTCCCCTTTTGTACAAAAAAACTGTTTTTTCTAAATGCTTAATATAATTTAACCTAATAATGAGCTCACTGATTGATACAAGAAATCTATCATTTGGAAATTTACATATCTCATGTCACTCTATCTGTATATTTGAGTATAATGATTTTTGTTAGTTACTCTAAGATAACATATACCTTCTATATCAGAGCATCATTCGGGATGACTCTCGAATTGTAGTTAAAGTCAACCAAACTACTTTGTTACCGATAAATACATCTATATTTTAACATTTCTATATTTTCATGTCTGTTAATGTTAAATTACATAGACCCCTAAACACCGATTACATAAACATACAGGGTGTTTAGGACGTCGTAACGAATACTGAAATAGTGAATTCAGACCATTATTCTGAGTTGAAATCATTGGAATTTCCTGCCGCAAATTTATACTTTTTATGCAATCAGCTGTCAAAGGTTAAGGTCATTCTCCATAGGTATAGCACAAAAGTAATAACTACATGTGTATTTCGTGCAAACAGTGTAAGTAGTCAGTTTGTTTTTGACCGTATGGTATTTATTTAATAGTTTTTGGTGAAATGTTCTGTGTACTCATTATGATATCATTATTAACCAAAAAAATGGAAAATTACAAAAAAAATATGAATTTTCATCTCAAAATTCCAATGATTACACTCAGAATTATGGTCTGAATACACTATTTCAGTGTTCATTACGACGTCCCTTACACCCTGTATAATGTACTTATGAATGGCATGTATACTTTGCATGCTACAATCATTGTTACCATCGTCTGCTATTTATATTAGGTATAAAGGAAGGTTCAATATTGATATTAATAACATTAACAAGTAGTACGTAACCCTTGTATAAGGCTGTCCGCTTGCTTGGTGAGCCGCGTGACTGCCAGTTTACCAGAGGGTACTGTGAAACTCGACTTCGCACCAGAAGGCCACAAATTCAAGAGCACGCCGTCTGAGACTGATTGTCTTGACCCGAAATCTGGAGCCCTACGAATGGATTAGCACTCATATAATCGATCAGGTTCCAGAAACAAATAAGTACAAGAAAATTAAGAATATACTCACCACTGGCGTGGGTCCTTCGAACAAATAAAATATTAATATAATGAAATCACCAGACAAACAAAATACTATTTAAGATCGGAAGACAAGAATTAGCAGAGTGTCCCCTGTGGCTGAAAGCCGGACTTATATATGCTCGGTTTGTGAACTTTCTAGAAAGAATCCCTACTTTAATATTTTAAACTGTCACTCAAATTATTATTGAGGTTAACACGAACAAAATCAAAAGTAACTCGCTTCCTACCATAACAAGACACTTTTAACACCAATACAATTTATCAGGATAAATTCTTACTATGACTAAATAAAACAACGCCATCTAGTGGTCCGATGGCGGACGAAGAACATCAATACTATAGTTACAATCTACTTTGGGTAAATCTATAAATGCGACGCGGGCAATAGATGTCGCTATTTACAACTCCGTACGCAATACTAATATAATAAAAAAAAACTGTTACAAGCGCCATTTAGACTTCCCTTCGCGGCACTGTGCGACTAACGTGTGACTTCATATGCTAACAATTTAAATATTGTTTTCTGTGTTTTTCTGCGACTAGTTCCCGGTTTGCGGGCGGCTAAAGGTTGTGTATAGTGTTTTAAAGAATATCAGTAAGTTTTTATTGTTTTTTAAACAGAAATATAGTGCTGAATTATTTTATTACGACTATTGGTGAGTAAATTTATTTTCTTTCTAAAAGTGGGTAGGAGGTATCCTTTGTTTATATTGATTTTTCTCTGCGTATTGTTTATTTTTAAACTTGTTCCTTTTGAAATTGTTGTTTGGTGTGTCTTTGTTTGGCTATGTCGGTCGTTAGCGAGTTGCCGGACCCCGGCGGTACAAGTGAATTTCTAACACCAACCGGGAAAAGGACATTTAACGAAATGTCACCTACGGATTTCTCGCCGAAAGACAATAGAAGTAAACGAATTAATAATTCGGATTTAAGTGGAAATGTTTCGTCTCTTAACGGTCGTGATAACTGTGGGGAATACAATTACTGCGAGTTAGTCTCACAGGCTACCGAGTACTTGGCAAAAATCAATGAATTAGTTAATGATCAGGGATCTCGGATGAATGTAGGTAATAAAACGGCAATTATGGATATTACTCAACGAATTACCGGTATCGTATCTTTGTTAGCAATAAAATCCTCTAGCAACGAAACGAAGTTAGCGAATTTTGAGCGACAAATGGAGGGTATCGCAACTCAACAAACGAGTTTAACGTACGCGGACAAACTTAAGCTTCGATTACCACCTAAATCTGCTCCGTGCCCGGTACCTACTGAAGCGCGCGTTCCTAGGCCTTGTGTTATTGCCTATCCCACTACGGAACGCTTAGCGGACTATGCGACCTCGTCAGCAACGAAACAAGCTCTC